CAACGCCTGGCCATTTTTTGGTTGCAGCCATCATTGTTGTTTGGCGGGCCCGGGCTGGGGATTCGAACCCGCCACCTTAGGTGTATGTGGTTGGCACCTTAGCCGCTTGAGCCACAGGCGCCAAGCCAGGAGGTATGTTTCTTAAGACTTTTGTTTTCTTGTTTGTAAATGAAGATGGTATTATATAAATTCCCTAAAGTTATATTGTTGTAATCAGATGAAGTAGGAGTATTTTATAATTCTAGCACTCTGGGAGGCTGAGGAGGGTAGATCCCTGAGCTCAAGAGTTCAAGACAAGCCTGAGCAAAAGTGAGACACCCCCCCCCACCTCTACAAAATATAGAAAAACTAGCCAGGCGTTGTGGCAGGCACCTGTAAGTCCTAGGTACTCAAGAGGCTGAGTCAAGAGGATTGCTTGAGCCCAGAGTTTGAAGTTGCTGTGAACTAAGCTGATGACACAGCACTGTAGCCTGGGGCTCCAGAGTGAGACTCTTGTCTCTAAAAGATGGGGGGTGGATATTTTATAAATTATAGAGTATTCTTTTTGTAGAGACTCCTTAATTTAACAGAATAAACTCCTGGAAAAGATCAATTTGATTAAGAGAAACAGGAAGCCAGGCAGAGTGGCTCACACCTATAATCCTAGCACTCTGGGAAGCCAAGGCCGGTGGATATCTTAATCTTAAGCTCACGAGTTCAAGACCAGCCTGAGCAAAAAGCAAGACCCCGGTTTCTACTAAAAATAGAAAAACTGAGTCAAGAGGATCCCTTGAGCCCAAGAGTTGGAGGTGTGAGCTATGATGCCACAGCATTCTATGCAGGGCAACAGCTTGAGAATCTGTCTCAAAAAAAAAAAAAAAGGAAAGGAAAGAAAGAGGCTCAGCACTCATAGCTCAGTGGTTAGGGCACTGGCAACATACACAGAGGCTAGCAGATTTGAACCATCTGGGGCCTGCCAAACGACAGTGACAACTACAACAAAAAAATAACCAAGCATGGTGGGTACCTGTAGTCCCAGCTACTTGGGAGGCTGAGGCAAGAGAATCACTTAAGCCCAAGAATCGGAGGTTGCTGTGAACTGTAATGCCATAGCACTCTACCAAGGGCAACATAGTAAGACTTTGTCTCAAAAAAAGAAAAATAAAAAAAAAGAAACAGAGGAGACAGGAAGTGTAAAATGATTATTTTTTTGGCATCTAGGCAAAAGCTGTGCCTCACTTCTGCGGGTCGAACCCTTTGTATGTGCCCAGTGTCGCACAGACTTCACCCCTCACTGGAAGCAAGAAAAGAATGGTAAGATTCTGTGTGAACAGTGTATGACCTCCAACCAGAAGAAGGCTCTAAAAGCTGAACACACCAACCGGCTGAAAAATGCTTTTGTTAAAGCCCTACAGCAGGAACAGGTAAGAATTCTGACTTCTTGCTGCCCGGCAAGGTGGCTCACACCTGTAATCTTAGCTCTCTGGGAGGTCATGGTGTGTGGATAGCTTGAGCTTAGGAGTTCCAGACCAGCCTGAGCAACAGCAAGACACCATCTCTACTAAAAATACAAAAATTAGCTGGGCATTGTAGAGGGTAGCTTTAGTCCCAGCTATTCAGGAGGCTGAGGCAGGAGGATTGCTTGAGCTCAAGAGTTTGAGGTTGCTGTGAGCTACAAAGATGCCATGACACTCTACTCAGGGCGACATAGTGAGACTCTGTCTCCCAACAATAAATGAATGAATGAGAATGAATAAGAATTCAGACTTCTTACCAGGCACTTGTCCCACATTTAGTTTTCTTCAATGAGTTATCCCTTCTAGTTTGGAGGAATTGTTTATGTGATATAGAGCCCTGGGCCTGAAGGACTAGGTTCCCTTTATCATTCCATCTTTCCCATTTCCATCTCACTATTTCTATCAAATGGCTAAGAACATAGGTAACTGATGGCTGAAGTGAAGGGGAAAGGGACAGAAGGTTTGAGACTATTAACTTTTCTATAGCATTCTATTCCCAACTTGATTTTCTCTTCAAACAGATGTATTTTGGTAGGTGGAATTTATATTTGCACTAGAAATCTCTTTGAAAGAAGTAATTATTTATGGTCTGTACTCAACAAGAAATGGTAAAGAGTAGATTATAAAGTAGCCCAGTGAAAAATAGTAGTTCTAGGATGTGTGAACATTTCCTGTAGTAGTTATAGAATGAGAATATCTTGGAGAGGGAAAAATATGTTGGGAAGCTCAGATCTTCTCCCTCTATCCTATTTCCCACTCCACCATTTTGTTTGGATAGTGTTGTAGACATTTTGGAAAATGAGTAGTCAGGAGTCAAAAATAAACCCCAGTACGTTTCTTAAACTGATAGAGGTCATCTACAGCAAACCCACAGCAAACCCATATTGAATGATGTAAAATTGAAAACATTTCCACTCAGATCAGAAACAAGGCAAGGATGCCCGCTGTCTCCACTGCTATTCACCATAGTAATGGAAATCTTAACCATCGTAATCAGGCAAGAGAAGGCGATTAAAGGTATCTAAATGGTCAGAGGAGATCAAACTCTCACTCTTTGCTGATGATATGATCCTATACCTGGGAATATCCCAGGAACTCAACTTTAAAACTCTTAGAAGTAGGTGGCACGGGTGGCTCAAAGGAGTAGGGCGCCAGCCCCATATACCAGAGGTGGTGGGTTCAAACCCAGCCCCGGCCAAAAACTGCAAAAAAAAACCAAAACTCTTAGACGTGATCAAGGAGGGCGGCGTCTGTGGCTCAAAGGAATAGGGCGCCGGCCCCATATGCCAGAGGTGGCAGGTTCAAACTCAGCCCTGGCCAAAAACTGCAAAAAAAAAAATGTAGAAGTGATCAAGGAATATAGCAGCATCTCAGGATACAAAATCATTAATAAGTCAGTAGCTTTTACATACGCCAACAATAGTTAAGCTGAAAAAACAATCAAAGACTCTATTCCTCTTACAGTAGTGGCAAAGAAGATGAAATATCTGGGAATTTACCTAACAAAGGACGTGAAAAATCTCTATAAAGAGAACTATGAAACTCCGAGAAAAGAAATAGCTGAAGATGTTAACAAATGGAAAAAATGCTCATAGCTGGAAAGAATCAACATTGTTCAAATGTCCATACTACCCAAAGCAATCTACAGATTTAATGCAATCTCTATTAAAGCACCATTGTCATACTTTAAAGAACTTGAAAAAATAGTACTTTGTTTTATATGGAATCAGAAAAAACCTCAAATAGCAAATACATTACTCAGAAATAAGAACAAATCAGGAGATATCATATTACCAGACTTCAGGCTATACTATAAATCTACATTGATCAAAACAGCATAGTATTGGCACAAAAACCGAGAGGTAGATGTATGGAACAGAATAGAGAACCAAGAGATGAGCCCAGCTACTTATCATCATTTGATCTTCGACAAGCCTATCAAAAATATTCAATGGGGAAAAGACTCCCTATTTAACAAATGGTGCTGGGTGAACTGGTTGGCAACCTGTAGAAGACCAAAACTGGACCTACACCTTTCACCATTAACAAAAATTGATTCTCACTGGATAAAAGATTTAAACTTAAGACATGAAACTGGGCAGCACTGTGGCTCAGTGAGTTGGGTGCTGGCCCCATATACCCAGGGTGGTGGGTTCAAACCCAGCCCCAGCCAAACTGCAACCAAAAAATAGCTGGGCGTTGTGGCGGGCGCCTGTGGTCCCAGCTACTTGGGAGGCTGAGGCAAGAGAATCGCCTAAGCCCAGAGGTTGCTGTGAGC